CAAAAGCCAAGCACATTACTGCGCTACTTGGACTCGTTTTTACTTTTTGAGTCTTTCAAGTCGCAGCAGCCCCAGATTATCTTTCCCACAAGCAGATTGGATTGGGAATGGGAATGGGATTGGGATTGGAAATGGGATTTGGTATTGGGGCTGGTTACAGAGCACATTACTTGCAAATCAATTTGCGACTTTTAAGCTCTTTGGGTTTTGGTTTTCACTCAATTTGCCATATAACAGGAATGTCAAAAGTTGCTCCTTGCGATTGGGAAACCCCGAAAGATATGGAAACAGCGGCTGTGTGTGATTTTGCGAATATGTTTTTGGGGGCAACTAAGTTCGTCAAGGAGCAGACACAAGAAACTTGAACATAAACCTCAGTTGCACTGTTTGTCTTACAGTTTGTGGCTTACTGAACATCGGAGTAGCAGCCATTTTTGGGCCCCAATCCTCGCACACCGCCAGTCATGTGCAGAGCATTTGCGACAACATGGAGGTGAGTATGAGGCTGCAGCCGTCCCCCATAAACCCCTTTGAGCGGCACACACTCATTCCAGATTCCCCATTTGGAGAATCGCTGGGACTACCGGCTGAGACGCGAAAGCTGCCTGGTGAATCTTTATCCGCACCCCAATACGCTCTCCAAGGTAGGCAGGTGAAATCCCCCCGAAACTTAAATGCAGTCGCATTGTTGATGTTTTCGCTTGCTCTTAGGCTTACGTGGATATCGTGCGACACTGGGGCTGGAAGACGTTCACCATTATCTACGAGAACAATGACGGCATCGTGCGGCTGCAGGAGCTGCTCAAGGCACACGGGATGACGCCTTTTCCCATTACTGTGCGCCAGCTGAGCGACAGCGGGGATTACCGGTAAGCCTAGCTAATCGTTTCGACTTTTAAAGGTTTTATTATAGTTTTTGATACCCCTAGTATGCTTACATAAAACAGTTTCTTCTTAAGTAAATAATCGAAAAATAAGCTAGCAAAACCCTATATTTGCGTATATGTCTTGAAAGGAACAAATGTCCTACACTTGTTTAACACTGCGTATGAGCAATCATCGTGGCTACCAATGTTCTTTTAACATAGTGTTACAAAATCGATTCATATTAAACTTTATTTTATGAAATTTTAATTTTAAGTTGTTAACAATCGAACGAAAAAAAAAAGTTTGGGTTTTAAATTTGAGAACAATCATAAATAACTCTTAACTCTTTAACTTAAAACGCCTTTACAAAGTTCAAAAAAATTTCTTTGACGTCTAAACTCGATATTTGTTCGCAGTTCAATGGGTGGAGTTTCGTGGGTCAAATCAAATCTCGATAATAAATAAACTTGATGATTAAAAAAACATAAATTCAAAGTTTGAGAACAAGCAGAAATAACTCTTAGATTGGACTTCTTCCAATGCTCGATATATGTATATAGTTCTGTAGTAAGGGATTTGATGGTCCGGTCGAACTTTGATAGTAAATAAACATGTTAGATCATAATATATTTTTTTGAATTTTTTTTTTTACTCTTTTTCACAGACCCCTACTGAAGCAAATTAAAAACTCCGCGGAGGCGCACATCGTTCTCGACTGCTCCACGGAACGCATCCACGAGGTGCTGAAACAGGCCCAGCAGATCGGCATGATGAGCGACTACCACAGCTACCTGGTAACCTCGTTGGACCTGCACACGGTGAACCTGGAAGAGTTCCGCTACGGCGGCACCAACATCACCGGCTTCCGGCTGATCAACGAGAAGATCGTCTCGGATGTGGTGCGCCAATGGAGCATCGACGAGAAGGGGCTGCTGCGATCCGCCAACCTGACCACCGTGCGCTCGGAAACGGCCCTAATGTATGATGCAGTGCATCTATTCGCCAAGGCACTGCACGACCTGGACACTTCGCAGCAGATCGACATCCATCCGATCAGTTGCGATGGCCAGAGCACCTGGCAGCACGGCTTCAGTCTGATCAACTACATGAAGATCGTCGAGATGAAGGGCTTGACCAATGTGATCAAGTTCGATCACCAGGGCTTTCGCACTGACTTCATGCTGGACATTGTGGAATTAACGCCGACGGGTATCCGGAAGATTGGCACTTGGAACTCCACACTGCCCGACGGTATCAACTTTACGCGCACCTTTAGCCAAAAACAGCAGGAGATCGAGGCCAATTTGAAGAACAAAACGTTGGTGGTTACTACCATATTGGTAAGGCAGAGTTGCCAACAATATATGTTAAAATACCAATATCTAAGTGTTTTTATTATTTTTTTAGAGTAATCCCTACTGCATGCGTAAGGAATCGGCAATTCCATTGAGTGGCAACGATCAGTTTGAGGGTTATGCGGTGGATCTGATCCATGAGATCTCTAAATCTCTAGGTTTCAACTATAAAATTCAACTGGTGCCAGACGGCAGCTATGGAAGTCTCAATAAATTGACGGGGTAAGAAAAAGTTGTATCTATAATTTATAATCTATAAAATATATAAAATGTATTTACCCTTAGCGAATGGAACGGCATGATTCGGGAGTTGTTGGAGCAGCGTGCCGACCTGGCCATTGCAGATCTGACCATCACTTTTGAGCGAGAGCAGGCCGTGGACTTCACCACACCTTTCATGAATCTGGGAGTCTCAATATTATATCGAAAGCCCATTAAGCAGCCACCCAACTTGTTCTCCTTCCTGTCTCCCTTGTCTTTGGATGTGTGGATCTACATGGCCACTGCATACTTGGGTGTCTCCGTGCTGCTCTTCATCTTAGCTAAGTTGGTTATATTTTCTCTAGCCAATTTCTCCGATTACTAATCTTATCTAATACAGATTCACTCCTTACGAATGGCCTGCCTATACGGATGCCCATGGCGAGAAGGTCGAAAGCCAGTTCACCCTGCTGAATTGCATGTGGTTTGCCATTGGATCGCTGATGCAGCAGGGCTGTGACTTTCTGCCCAAGTAATATTTGACTTTGTGGTTGGTAAAGGCCCGTTTTAATATATATGTATATATATATTTCCTAGGGCTCTATCCACTCGCATGGTGGCTGGTATCTGGTGGTTCTTCACCCTGATCATGATCTCCTCGTACACGGCCAATTTGGCTGCCTTTTTGACTGTCGAGCGCATGGACTCGCCCATCGAAAGTGCCGAGGATTTGGCCAAGCAGACTAGAATTAAGTATGGCGCCTTGAAGGGCGGCAGCACAGCAGCTTTCTTCAGGGTAAGACCAAAACATGATTTCAAATAAATTATTAATTACTAACATTTTTAAATTCTATTAAACTAAAAGGACTCAAAGATCTCCACATATCAGCGCATGTGGTCTTTTATGGAGTCGGCTCGTCCCTCAGTCTTCACAGCCAGCAATGGTGAAGGTGTGGAGCGGGTGGCCAAGGGCAAAGGTAAGTCAGCACACTCTAAGTTATGTTCTTCTAAAATGTCACTTTGCAGGATCCTATGCCTTTCTGATGGAGTCCACGTCCATTGAGTATGTAACCGAGCGCAACTGCGAGCTGACGCAAGTGGGAGGCATGCTGGACACCAAGAGCTATGGCATTGCCACACCGCCCAGTAAGTAGCTCTCAAACTGGTTGTAAACGATGCAGCGGCAGTTTCTGATAATAAGCTGCTACATCAATTACAACCATCTTAGGGAGATCCCTGACTCACTGCTGAGCATTTTCACCCACAGACTCACCCTATCGAACTGCCATCAACAGCGTGATACTGAAGCTGCAGGAGGAGGGCAAGCTGCACATCCTGAAAACCAAGTGGTGGAAGGAGAAGCGAGGCGGTGGCAAGTGCCGTGTGGAGACCTCCAAGTCCTCGTCGGCGGCCAATGAGCTGGGACTGGCCAACGTGGGCGGCGTCTTTGTGGTCCTGATGGGCGGCATGGGGGTGGCCTGCGTCATCGCCGTCTGTGAGTTCGTGTGGAAGTCACGCAAGGTCGCCGTGGAGGAGCGCCTGAGTGCGATACTGAACGAATGAGAAAAGTCGTAAACCCGGGACGAATGGGTTTAGGCGACGTGGGTCTCGGGAGATCAATCAAAAATGCTAGTTGATGCGGGAACGTGCAATCCGGTGCCGCAAATATCAGGAGCAATAGAGGAAATAGCCATGTTTCGACATTCAGATCAACCTTAGCGTTACACCGATACCCAGGCAGTTTCCAAAAGTTGGGAGAGTCGAGGGTGCCGGAGCCACCAATGAAAGTTAGCACCAGTTTGAAGGCGGCGTGGAACCATATATTTATTATAATATAGATTCAAGCTACACATGTGCGACATAGGTACACTGAGGCATATATAAATATATATTTATATTTATACAGGATACACTCCCCTTCGCAACTTACTCGTAATAATCTTATACATAAACTATACACTAAAGGAACCACACAAACACGTGCAACAAATCGAAATCGTATTGCATTTATATTTGAAAGCATTTTTGGGAATTGACCTATAGACGTAATTGTAGCTAAATTATATATAAACAAGCATATGACCCAGACGACAAGATCAGCGTATTCGTAACCATAAGAAGCCGGACACAATTTACACAATCTAAGACGATATTTTCAACGGAACTAGCCAGTAGATCGTAACCTAAGTGAGTTGTAATCCCTAGCCTAGACACACTACCCCCACTTTCTTCCACTTTCCCCATAACTCTTGTCAGTCCCCCTAAGATTTAAGATTGTAAAATGTAATTACCGCTCATACAGGCAATTCTGACAGGCAATTTCATAAAATACTTACAATTGAATAAAACAAGTTAACAAAAGCTGATGTCCTGCGATGAACACCTGCGTTCGATTTGACATTGGCTGTGGATGTCGACGCCTAACCGCAAACCGTCAATCACTAATCACTCTTCAGGCTTGTTCACTTTCTCGCCAATCAATTTTTCATGGGACCTGCACACGCTCAGTGCAAGTCGGTGGTTTAGTTTTAATTGGATTTGGTTTTATCAGCAAGGTAACCTCGTTGCCTCGTGGACTTTGCCTTCTCAGTTGCCTTTTGGAAACCCTACAGTCATGCGGTCATCGGTTTGTCTTTTGCTCCTTGTTGGACTGCAGTTCTACATCCTGATTCCTACAGCGGCCAATGACTTTTCCTCTTTTCTGAGCGCCAACGCCTCGTTGGGTGAGTTTGGGTTTCGCAGGATTTGCCTTAAAACATAAACATTTATCGTATATGCAGCCATTGTGGTGGACCACGATTACATGACCACACATGGCCAGAACATAATGGCCCACTTTGAGAAAATCCTGAGCGACATAATCCGTGAGAATCTGAAAAACGGTGGCATAAACGTGAGGTATTTCAGCTGGAACTCAGTGCGTTTGAAGAAGGGTGAGATGTGTAATTTTTGGCAACTGCTCAGATGATTAAGCTCGTTTGCCATGCTGCAGATTTTTTGGCCGCCATTACGGTGACGGATTGCGAGAACACATGGAAATTTTACAAGAGCACTCAGGAAACTTCAGTTCTATTGATCGCCATCACAGACTCAGACTGTCCTCGACTGCCCCTGAATCGTGCCCTGATGGTATGAACACTCTTTGTTACCATATATAACACTAAAACTGTAACGATCTATAGATACCCATCGTTGAGCACGGCGATGAGTTCCCCCAAGTCATACTCGATGCCAAGGTTCAGCAGATTCTCAACTGGAAAACAGCAGTGGTGTTTGTGGATCAAACAATATGTGGGTGGACTTAATCTTTAATCCATTAAAAATCCATAAAAATGTCAAATAATCGGAATTTCTTAAACCTCTTCTTGATCAGTGGATGATAACTCGGTCCTGGTTAAGTCAATTGTGCATGAAAGCACCACCAATCACATCACGCCAATCTCATTGATCCTCTACAAAATCGACGACTCCCTGAGGGGCCAACAGAAGCGAGCCGCCCTACGCCGAGCACTGACCCAATTTGCTCCCACCAAACACGAAGAGAAGCGCCAGCAGTTCCTGGTGCTATCCGCCTTTCACGAGGACATCATCGAAATAGCCGAGACCCTCAACATGTTCCACGTGGGCAACCAGTGGATGTTCTTTGTGCTGGACAAGGTGCGTCGGGATTTTGACGCCGCAACCGTGACCAGCAACCTGGACGAGGGCGCCAACATAGCCTTTGCCCTCAACGAGACCCTGCCCGACTGCCAGGACACACTGAACTGCACCATCTCTGAGCTGAGTCTCGCCCTGGTGACCTCCATTTCCAAGATTACCGTGGAGGAGGAGTCCATATACGGCGAGATCTCTGACGAGGAGTGGGAGTCCATTCGCTTTACGAAGCAGGAGAAGCAAGCGGAGATCCTCGAGTACATGAAGGTAAGTCTATTAACCAAGGGGGGTACAACTAGTAAGTAGTCTGGATTTTCTATAAAACATTCAAAAAGTTATAAATATAAAATTCAAAATTTTAAAAATATGCCTTAAACATTAAGTAACTTACATAGAAGTATAGTTAAATTATAAATTCATTTGTGAGGTGCACATTAAAATGACTACAAGTATTTTGGGTATTTAAGATTATAAATTAAATATAAAGTTTAAATACTTATTGATTTGGAACAGGATTACCTGAAGGCCAATGCCAAGTGCTCCAGTTGTGCCAGATGGCGCATAGAGACGGCCATTACTTGGGGCAAAAGTCAGGAGCACCGCAAGTATCGCGCAGGTTAGTGTGACACTCATCTGCCTGCATTTATTATACTCAAAAAGGCTGCTAGATTTAGCCCACACACGCGATGCTAGGAACCGAAACTTCGAGTTCATCAACATTGGCTACTGGAGTCCTTTACTGGGATTCGTCTGCCAGGAGTTGGCCTTTCCACACGTCGAGCACCATTTTCGCAACATCACCATGGACATTCTGACCGTGCACGTGAGTCTTTGAGCCAGGAATATAATTAACATAATTATTATTGGTTCAAATCGCTCGTAGAATCCACCCTGGCAAATTCTAACCAAGAACAGCCATGGAGTCATTGTGGAGCACACGGGAATCGTTATGGAAATCATCAAGGAACTGAGTCGGGCCCTAAATTTCAGTTACTATCTTCACGAAGCCGGGGAAGAGTATTCCCTTGGCACGATGAACACCAATGAAAGCGTGAGTTCATCCATCTTTTTAGGGTAATGTTCCTTTTAAATTCTGTTCTGTACAGGATGAGCTCTTGGGCTCGATGACGTTTCGGATTCCCTACCGCGTGGTGGAGATGGTGCAGAACAATCAGTTCTTTATTGCCGCCGTGGCAGCCACCTTGGAGGATCCCGACCTGAAGCCCTTCAACTACACCCTGCCCATCAGTGTGCAGAAGTACTCCTTCATCACCCGCAAACCGGATGAGGTGTCTCGCATTTATCTCTTCACGGCTCCCTTTACCAAGGAGACTTGGCTCTGTCTAGTGGGCATCGTCCTACTCACAGCTCCCATGCTTTATGCCATTAACCGCCTGACTCCGCTAAAGGAGATGCAAATCAGGGGCTTGTCCACGATCAATAGCTGTTTCTGGTACATTTTCGGGGCTTTGTTGCAACAGGGTAAGAGTCTTACAAATTTACACCTTCGTAAATTAAGCTTATTAACCGCGGTTTCAATAGGCTTTTCTCATAATTGATTAAAAAATGTGTGCTCCAGATGAAACCGAACACATATTAATTTTCTTCACACCCATTCTAACTTTTTGCCATTTTCTAGGAGGCATGTATTTGCCGCGAGCAGACAGTGGCCGCTTGGTGGTGGGCTTTTGGTGGATCGTCGTGATCGTGTTGGTGACCACCTACTGCGGCAACCTGGTGGCCTTCCTCACGTTCCCCAAGTTCCAGCCGGGCGTGGACTACCTCCACCAGCTGGAGCGCCACAAGGCGATCTCGCAGTACGGCCTGCGGAACGGGACCTTCTTCGAGCGGTATGTGCAGACTAGCACTCGGGAGGACTTCAAGCACTACATGTCGCTGGCCAGGATCTACGGAAGTGGCCAGGACGAGGACATCGAGGCGGTGAAGCGGGGCCAGCGCATCAACATCGACTGGCGGATCAACCTACAGCTGATCGTGCAGCAGCACTTCGAGCGGGACAAGGATTGCCGCTTCGCTTTGGGCAAGGAGAGCTTCGTGGACGAGCAGATCGCCATGATTGTGCCGTCACGGAGTGCGTACCTGCATCTGGTGAACCGCCACATCAACAGCATGTTCCGCATGGGCTTCATCGAGCGCTGGCACCAAATGAACCTGCCCAGTGCGGACAAGTGCATCGGCAAGGGTGCCCAGCGCCAGGTGACCAACCACAAGGTCAACATGGACGACATGCAGGGATGCTTTCTGGTCCTGCTCCTGGGCTTCTCGGCGGCCTTGTTAATAGTCTGCTTCGAGTTTTGGTACCGCCGATTCAGGGCCAGTGGCAAACGCCGCGTGTTCACCAACTGACCCCTTGGAAGTGTGTAACATAGTGTGTTTGAAATTAATTTAGTAACATTCACACTCTGTGTGGAATTTATCCAATGGCTTATCTATTTAAATCGAAAGTTACAATACACTGAAAAACTGGCTTTGAAATTACTTTACGAACAATGCCCTGCAACCCACACTTTGTGGGATCCAAGACTTAACCTACATACAGTTGATAGCACTAGCACCGTTACTATAGAATTAAGAATTTATACTTGTACACCCAAGTGTATATCAGTGTAACAGATGAAACTCAATAAATTTCAATTAAATGTTCTTAAAAATGGAAAAAAAAAATATAATATCTTCCTAGTAACTAAAAAAAAAATTGAAGAGAGAAATTGTTAAACAATAAAAGCACTTCTGTACAAATAGTAGGCATATAACATATAAATAAACAAAAAGATATTTAATATTATAGATTTGATCGATAACAAGAAGAAATAATATTTTTCTATAACTATTTGTTCTGAGTTTCACCTGATTTCGAATGGCACAAATAAAGGTAAAAGCTAACTATATCAGAGAATAAATATTGAACTTGAGCATTTCTAAAACATGGCTGATGCTCAAACATTTTCTTTTCTATAAAAACCTGGATCGAACTCAAATAAATTTAATAATTACTGCAAGATAATACCGAACGAAACAGATGCCATGAACTTGCCTTGACTGCACCAAGGGACCACTTGAAATGTTTAACATAGAAGTTTAATGTTTGAAATTACTTTATGAACATCATATCAATCTGGAGTTAAAGGTAGACACTTGTTGTTCATCCAAAACTCTCTATGTGGAGTTGGCGTTGGGACCGCGACGACGTCCGAAGCCCTGGACAAAGTTGACGAACCGGCGGTTGTACTGGATCCTGCGCTTGGCGCGTCCGGTCTTCTTCTTCTTCTTCTCCTGCTTCTCCACCTTGGGCGTTTGTCCCTTGACCTTGCCGGCACGAGCCAAAGAGCCGTGAACCTTGCCACCCAGCATGGGAATGTTGAGGTCCAGCTCGAAGGAGCTGAGAGCGGTCACGGGCGTCTCGTTGGCCAAGGTGGTGCCCTCGCAGTCGAGGCTGAATTCCTCGGCGTTGAATCCGTGCATCTGAGCCAGTTGGTTCTATGGAAGCCACAAATAGGTTAGGGTTTCGCTTTTAGTGGATATCCAATTTGTGTGTGGGAGGGACTCACCTTGACGACGGCGATGGTGGCATCCTGGCAAACCTCCAGGGCCTCAATGGTCTCTAGTCCACGGACGAACAGCTGCATGTTGATTCGCTCTGCAAAATAACCATGTCCCACACATTTATTAGCTTTCATATTGGCTTGTATGAGGAACACGTGTGCTGATTCGATCTCTATTTTTCAGCCCTTTCACTCGTTTCACAACTGGCACTTGGTGCCCAGGACACTTGGCCCCAGCCCGCTCACACATTGCACCGGTATTTTCGCTTTATTTGGGCCATTTTCTATTATATTTCGACAAAAATCACTCGATTACCTTTTGACTTGGTGTGCGGATCCCGAAAAAGAAAGATGGCGCAGAAACATCGGCGGGTCTATCGATGCATCGATAGTTTTCTTGTTTTCAGACTATCGATATGTACGCCAGGCGTTAGTGTGTTATTCTTGAACGCATGGCAACGCCTAATAAAAAGGGTGGCAGCACTATTTGGTTTGTTTCTGCGAAATCGTTATCGAACATTCAAAGTATGACCACTCTGCAGCTTTGTCAGAATCTGTGCATTTATATTTTAGTATTTTCCAAGCAACTTTTTAAAAATCCGTTAAATTTCATATTTAATATAATGTTATATGCAAAATATTATATACTGTATAAAAACACATTTTGAGTTTCATAAACTTGTAATATGAATATATAACTCATAAATTGTAAGCAATCGTTCCAAATATGATTATTGCCTAAATTTGTTTCCTTAAAAGTCACAGCGTGTCTATTATTGAAAATTGATTATAAGATTTTATAGAGCACAGTTCCTCTTTTTATATTACACCATCAAACATAAAAACGTTAGAACCTCTTATTCTCCCTACACTACAGATCGAAAAAGGACAGTCTGGCTGACGCCCTTCTAAGCCCGCACACCCCGCTTACCTCAATCTACGTAAAAATGGGAATTACGTTAAGCCCGCTTACTAATACTAGTCCGCCCGCGCCCGTCTTGACCCAATTTTCTGTGGGCCTCTCCTTGAAAATGAACATGCGCATGCGCCTGCGCTTGTCCTTTGTTTGATCCGCAGAAAGGACAGTGAAAAGGAGCCTGTGTGTTATTCTACGCCATTAGAATAAATATTGCCGCATTGTTTGTCAAACAGGACTAGATTAGTAACATAAACATTCCGTCATAGAATGCAAATCATAAGCCGATTTCACAAATTTGCACGAATTATCTGCGTCTAATGAGTGTGGCTTAAATTGTTCAGGATCTTTCGAAGGTCTGGACATTGGAAAGGAGAACCTAAGGTTTTGCAAGTTTTAATGGTGGTTGGAACTGTCATAAGTGGATATATCTGTATGTACAGATATCTACAATACAATTTTGTAATGCTCTGATACCAAAAGCGACATTTGATATTATTTTTAACCCTTCGACGCGGTGTCCACCTTTTGATGCTCACTTAAGATAGCCAAATGGCGCATGCGATCCTCTCTTCCTGTTGTCCACTTCGGTTTGGATCTCCATTCTATGCCCTACTCATATGATCGGATTAGTTTGGGATTACGGGCAGACATCTCCTGGATTTGCGTAAACTCATTTGCCAGACCTTGTGGCAGAACCAGGACCTGGGAAATGCATCCGCAATCATTTCCCCCACTGTATGGAGGAACTGCCGCTTTGTAATGTGATATTTTAGCATGTTTGCAAACAAAGGCATCGGAAAAACAAATTACTCTTGACCATAAAAACAAGGGCAACAATTGCAAAATCGGCTTAGCCTGCCCTTCGTCTTCCCTTTACCGGTTGCTGTTTTTCCGGCACGCGAATTTCCTTATTTTCATTCACCTTTTTTCGTAAATTTTCCCATATGGGCTCGATTTTCGGCCACACATCTTAACTTATTATCATATCTGTGGGGTCGGCTGCGTTTGATCCCATTATTCGAATGCGTTGCTGCCATGAGAAAGAAAACCAATGTAGTCAACCAGTTCCGCAAAGAAATATTAAATTACTCAATCCATATTCAATTTGCATCAGGTGACATGGATACGCCTGTATCTACAAAAAAGGTGGTTGTTAGTTGAAAACTTAATGGAATTTAAATTAAATAGCAAATATATATTTTTTTTTATTTATGGATACATTTTGTTTATTATAGTTTGAAAAACGATTGAAATATATATTTAAAATATTTTTAAGCTTGAGTAAAACTTACCGCTTTCTTTTCAATTGAAAACAAGTTGTGCACAATTTTCAGATATACATATAGTCGTAATTTATTAATTGTAAAGCATTAAAACATTAAAGTGTGTTGAACCCATCTATCAACAAGAAATTATTACGTTGGAAAGATCATTATTGGCAAACAAATTTAAAAATAAGTTTTCAATAATTAAAACAATTGCAAAATAAAAATAAAGTCTTAAATAAACGCGGCTATATATATATATATATATATATATATGATATATATATATATATATATATATATATCACTATGAAAGTTATTCACTAAATAATGTTTAGGGCTTTTCATTCCGATAAAATCAAAAGTTGTTTTATGTCTTTTATTTTCTTTTGATAAACTTGGTTTCATGTTATGAATATAACATTTGACTAAATTTGCTCATTTAGATAAGTTGTAAGAGATTTCAAAACCTACAAATCAGAAAGCCCATATTAACCCAAAAAATTTTAGATATACCATTTTCAAAAGACTTAGAAGTTATATTTTGATTATAAATATATCTTAAAATGAAGTAAATGTATTTACAGAAAGCCACTTAATTTGAATGTGAGGTTACACAGTAACAGCCATAGGTATGGATTCCCCACCAACTTAAGCTACAACAATCATTTCCGGTTCCGGACTGGAGGCATTCGAGGAGAAGGTGGAGTCGCAGCTCTCGTCCTTGTCGCGCTTTTCCCGTCGTTCGCGGGCCCTCCGGTTCTGGAACCAGATCTTGACCCGCGTGTTGGTCAGCTCCAGGGATTCGGCAAGCTTGTTGGCGTCCTCGGCGCTCAGGTAGTTGGACTCCTTGTAGGCACCCTCCAAAGCCTGCAGCTGGTGGGGAGTGAATGGGATGCGGGGCAGGCGGCCGGGAGTCCTTTTGGCGGGGGCACTTTGCCGCAGGGCCCTGGGCAGCTTGGGCGGATGGTAGCGGGTGTACTGCAGCCAGTCGTAAACGGGAACCTGACACTCGGCCACTGCTGGAGGGGATCTCCTCTGCTGCTCCTTGGAGGAATACAATGGTTGGGCGTACGGATGGAACCGCTGCAGGACACCCAGAGAAGCATTGGTTCCCACATATCTGTCGCCGGCGCGATTCAGAATATACTCGATGCTGAAGTCACTCATCCTCGGACGATCGATCCTTTCCTCGGGCTGGTCGAAGTGCTACTGCTGAGTTCGCTGCGCAGCCACGAGCTATTTATGCAAGGACCTCCCATCGCCGCCATTTGCATCGCAGGCAGCAGGGTATGGCCATCCCTGTCTGGCAGGACAAAGAGATTGGCCTGGCCCAATTCAAATCTCGTTCGGAGGCAGCGAGGCGTTTAATAGGCGTTTCCCAGCTCCGGCCAGGTAGCCATCCCTTGGCCCAATTATGTTACCCTTATCAGTGGATGAGATTATAAACTGCACGAGTTCGATTGTCTTCATCAAATGTTTGCTGTGACTGCGCTTCCGTTTAATGCTATCTGTATACCCTTTATTGGAAGGGTGAGCACATCTACCTAATCCCAATTAACTAAATTACATTTTTAATAAACAGTTAAGTTAAGCATTATTGATTTGGAGGATAACTTTTATGGAGTTGATGTATAGTTTGTTTAACTTTTCAATGATAAATTCAATTTCGCAAGACATATATTAAATATATATGAAAAAGCATATGATTAGATCTCATGCTGTTTTCCATGCAAACATATTTTAATGGGAAACGAGCATAACACATTTTTGATAGTTTTTGATTTGTTGTGGTTATCTTTCGCAGGGTGATTCCCTCCTCTTTCCACTTGGTGAACTCATCCGCATCCATGTTTTTTCTTTAGCCCGGCCATCCTATCGGATCCCATTCCATTCCATCCCTTTGGATGGGAAAACAAGTTGAGCCTGATATATTTTGATGCGCGTATGTTTTGATTGATTCGTAAATTTGTTTTCATAACAGTTGCCTTTGCAAAACGAGTTTTGAGCCAACCCTCGGTACGTTCTTAAAGTATCAATTACACTGTTAATTGAAAATAACCATTGGATAGTCAGAATACGGAAACATACTATGCCATTGAGC